CACCTTTAACATTTTTATGTTCTGCTTTATAAAAAAAAACAAAAAAAATTTTTTTTCTCTCTCTCTCTCTCTCTTATACATCGGAAAAAAAAAAATAATAATAATAATATTGTCAAGGAAATCCAGTAGATCATGAAATTTTATTTTAAATAATAATAATAATAATAATAATGGCCCCGATCGATCGATCGATCGATCGTTCGATCGTGTCCAGAGGTGCAAAACAAAATCTGCAAAAATATTATTATTATTATCATTATTATTATTATTATTATCGTTCGCATATTTTTTTGTGTTTCGCTATGACGAAATTTCTTTTCGTTGCTTTGTATTTTATTCATATTCGATTGATTTACAAAAAAAAAAAAAAAAAAAAAAATTACGACGACGACGTCACATTTGTTAAAATAATAATAATGATGATGATGATGGGGGGTACGTTAAAAAGTTTCATTAAAAAAAAAAAAAATTATGGCGTCTTGTAACTTTTTATTTTCCCCTCCCACACTGAAAATTTTTTCTTAATCAGCACACGTCGTGGCATTAACCTCAAAAAACAAAATGGACTCTTTTTTTCAATAAAAAAAATTATTAATTTCTTAACTCGAATGCGAATATTTATACAGGCATCGAGAGATTAAAAACAAAAATGGCGGACGCAATATTATTATTTGCAAAACGTTCGAATTTTTTTTTCCATCGTCTCGATCCCCTTTCCCACGTTTCAACCACCCCCCGCCCAACCGTCGGGTATGTATCGCCTCCCCCATTCTCCCATTTACGAGAAAAATCACGTTTTTTTAACTACTCAAATTAATTTTTTTTTTTTTTTTATGTAAAGGGGCAAATAATAAACGCCGTCTTTATTGCTTTCACTTGCTATTTAAAACCAACAACAACAAACAAACAAACAAACGAACAAACAAACGAACGAAAAAAAAATAGCGCGAGCAGATTTCATATTTGATTCTTTTTAATTTACTTTTCCTATTATTATCATTATTATTATTATTATTATTATTATTATTATTTTTAATTTGTAAAGGTAATAGTAAAAAATAAATAAATAATGTTAATAATTGATTTCAACGATTGGTAGCACTGATTTTTTTTTCTCTTCAATAACGATTGCGGTTATTAAAAAAAAAAAATTATTAAATCACGTACCTGAAGATCACGTACCATTTTTTTTTTTTAATTTAACAATTTTTTTTTTTTTTTTTTAAAGAGAAACAAAAAACAACAACAATAATAATAATAATACTATCGAAGTAAAATATTATTTTACCGTAGTATACATGAAAAAAATTTTTTTTTGTGACGTCATTTATCTTTTTTTGTAAACCCACAGACCAACCCTTTAATAATTTTTTTTTTTTAATTATAGGCGGTTCTTCATATTCTCTCACACACACACACACACACAACTTCCTACTTAACATTTTTTTTTTTTTTTAAATAAATAATAATAATAATAATGATGATAATAATAATAATGATAAT